GCTAATTTTTGTATTTTTAGTAGATACAGGGTTTCACAATGTTGGCCAAGCCAGTCTCGAACTCCTGATCTCAGGTGATCCACCCACTTTGACCTCCCAAAGTGCTGGGATTACAGGCATGAGCAACTGTTCCTGGCTCAGACATAAATTTTTAATACCATTTTCTAATAAAAGGAATCAGGTCTCTCTGAAGACATGACTGATACTGGGACTAGGACAGTAAATATATGACCCAGAATAACTGACATATGAGAAAAGAAGAAAGTACTCAAAAAATATAAAATTATGTCAAAAGGAAAACAGGAACCAATGGAAAGAGCTCCCAGTGGCCAAAGCAGAAATAAGTTGAGCAATAAAACACTGCAGTATTGAATAACAACCAAAGCTTAAAGTAACTATCTGTCCACATTTATACAAGTAAGTGCATAAGCAAATAAAATCGAATAGAAGTCTTTTTACAAAAGAATTCCAAATAATTGATGCAGATACTCAGCCATCAAGGAGGTGGAGATAACATCCCACTCCTTAAATAGTGACTGTGCATAGTGACTTCCACAAGAAGTATACAAAAAATATGGACAAGTAACCTCACAGTAGAGAAACTTCACAAATACTAGCGTAGCCAGGTGATCACAGTTAATATCAATGATGATAACTCACCTTGAGAGCATGAAGTAACAAAAATAGCACTTCACCTCTGTGATCTGCTTCCCCTAAATCCATAACCCCAGTCAACTTATCAGAAAAGCACCAGGTAAATAACAATGTGAGACATTCTACAAAATACCTGACCAATCCTCTTAACACTGTCAAGGTCACTGGAAGAAGGAAAGTCTGAGAAACTATCACAACCAAGAAGAACCAAAGGAGTCATGACAACTAATGTTATATGGGATACTGGATTGGGGGGGAAGATAGAATTCCTCCTCCCTGAAGGAGGATAAGATAGAACTAAGGAAATCCAAATAAAATATGGGTTTCAGTTTATAATAGTGTATCAATATTTGTTCATTCACTGTGACAAATGAAATGAGAAATACTGACAGAAGATGTTAGTACGAAAGGACACTGGGTTGCAGCTACATGGGAAGTTTGTGTTTTCTTTGCTGTATCTCTATAAATCTAAAACAACTCTAAAATAAAACTTAATTTTAAAAGTTGTATTTTTTCAAACACCTGCTTAATAATTTGTACTATTAATTTCTAGTAATTCACCGACCCTGTTAACTATTCCTGTCTTTTAATAAGAACATTTATGACACAAAAATTCAATCATACAGACTAATATATAATTCCAAATAAATGCCTCTTTACATGTTTTAAGTAAAACATATATGTATAAACTTACTTCATTGTTTCTGGTATTGTGATTGTGTCTTGGGTTCACTCTCTGAAAAGGTGGTCCTCTTTTAGAGAACCAAGAAAAAATTCATTTCAGAGACTTTCAATTCGTGGTTGAACAGTCAAAAGAATTACTGTAAAAAAAAAAAATGGTACTTTTGAGACCATCGTGACCAACATAGTGAAACCATGTCTCTACTGAAAATACAAAACTAGCTGGGCATGGTGGTGTGTGCCCGTAATCCCAGCTACTTGGGAGACTGAGGCAGGAGAATCGCTTGAACCTAGGAGTCGGAGGTTGGGGTGAGCCAAGATCACGCCATTACACTCCAGCATGGGCAACAAGAGCGAAACACAATCTTTAAAAAAAAAAAAAAAAAGTTCCCTGCTATCCAAGATTTTCTGTTGTTGTTCTTGTTGTTTTACTATAAGACTTAGAAAAGAAAATGTTTCAATGGCAAATGGATTCCCTGTGACTGGATCACTTACTCCGAAATATCCCTTTGTTTTCCATGCATGCTTTTCAACAATAATATAACAGAATGTAATATTGGCCACTGGGAAAAAATATTCAAAGAAAGAAAGAATGTGAAAAGAATCTGTAACCACAATAATTCAATGTTTCATTGTGATGCTTTCTAATACAGAAAGAATATTCAAAGTTGATTTCCTCAATGATACTTAGCAGAAAGTGATGAAACTAGAGAAACAAAAATGGCATAATATTCTGAGTCATTTTACATGTTGCTATGTTTTACGGGAAAAAATAATTTACCCTTTAGAGGATCACAGATAATTATTAGAAGCCCAAACTCTGAAATGTCTCCAAATTTAGTTGAACTTGTAAGTAATTATAATGTCAATATAGCTAGTCATGAAATTAATCGTAAAAAAGGATCTGTGCCTTATTTATGTAATAAAATATGCAATGAATGATTAATGCTCCTAGGAAAATACATTTGACTAAAATTTAACTGACAGTGTCAGAATCAAAATATATTTGATTGTATAACAGAAGTAGCCCATCATGAAGAAAGGTATCATATCATAAGGTATGTTCATGTTAAATAAACTGTCAAACCAATGGAAGAAAGCTGTATTGCCTTTGTTGAAAGGAAAGAAAAATGGAGACAGTCTAGCCTGGGGAATTATGAAGTTGGAAACATGTAATGACAACATAAGAATGTCCTGGACAGGGATGTAACAGTGAACAACTCTGGCAGGTGTGTGAAAGGGTCAAAGCCATCATATCCCCTCCCCAGATGCTCAAGCTAAATCTGCACTTTGTTCAGTCCACAATCTTTACATATCTATATATTAGTACTTGGTACATGTTATTTTGTTTGGGGAGGTATAAGCAATATATTTAAACAACGTTTCCAGTTATCATATGCCTACTCTTAAATATTTCCTATCTGTTTCAAACAAATGAGCTATTAAAACAAGAATGATCTCTCCCTCCAATCTCTACTATGTAGCTCCCAACCACCAACCTGAACCTCCTATCTTGAAGCCCTGATACCATAAGCTTTAATTGGTAAACTCTGAACCCTTCAACCCTTATCTCCTGATTTTATAGGACCCTGACACACTAACTCTAAATACTAACCAGAGTCTATACAAAATCTCATCCTGATCTATCCTACTCAGTGTCATACCACTTTAAGGACTGATCTATAACCTCAGAAATGTAGACTTAATAATCATCAACAAAATAATAGCAAATTTAAACCAACAGCATTGTGAGAGGATCAAACGCCAGGAACATGAGTTTTTATCCCAATAAATCAACGGTGGTTCCACACACTAATGCCATTCATGTAACACACAGTGTTGTTAGAATGAATGGAAAATACCCCATAATTTTCTCAGCTGTTGCAGAAAGGGCTTTCAACAAAGCCCGGATTACAGGCATATGCCACCATACCTAGCTAATTTTGTTTTTTTAGTAGAGAAAGGTTTCACCATGTTGACCTGGCTGGTCTTAGGGTCCTGACCTCAGGTGATCTGCCTGCCTCAGCCTCCCAAAGTGCTGGGATTACCTGCGTGAGCCACCATGCTTGGCCAAAAAAATCCATTTTATATGTATACACTAGCAATGAATAATCTGAAAACAAAATTATAAAAATTCCACTGCAAATAATACCAATAGCAATAATATGCTTAGGAATAAATGTAATCAAAGGGTAAGACTTAGAAGGGGAAAATTAAGACATTGCTTAAGAAAATGAAAGACCAAATAAATGTAAAAACATGTCATGTTCATGGATTTGAAAACTATATTTGTTAAGTTTGCCAAACTACACAAAGCAATCTACAGATTCAGTGTTATTCCTATGAAAATCCCAAAGGCCTTGGGACAGAAATGAGAAAGCTGATCCTAATGTTTATATGGAATTTCAAGGAACCCTGAAAAGCCAAACCAATCCTGAAAAATAACTCCAAATCTGGAGGTTTGCACATCCCAATTTCAAATCTTACTACAAAGCAATAGTAATCAAAACAGCATGATACTGGCACAAGAATAAACAGAAAGATCAATTGAATTGAATTGGGAGTCCAGACATAAAACAATACCTCCATGCTCAACTGATTTTAGACAAGATCCATATCCATTAAATTGGGGAAAAAATGCTGTCCTCAACAAGTGATGTAAGGCAACTTGCTGTCCACAGAGAGGGAAATGAAATTGTATCCTTACCTATTACCACATAAAAAAATTAACTTAAAATGGATCAAAGACCTAAATATAACAAAACTAAAAACTCTATAAGAAAACAAACAGTTAAAACTTCATGACCTTGGATGTAGCAGTAGTTTCTTAGATCTGACACCAAAACCACAAACCACAAAAGGAAAAATAAATCAATTGATTTCCTCGAAATTCAAAACTTTTACGCCTCAGAAGACATGAAAAAAAAAACTTGAAAGACAAAATTGTTGTACTAGGAAAAACAACTGTCTTGTATTATGCTCTTAACACTCAACACCAAACACTTCTGTTAACAGATGCATGGTTTTTCCCCCACAGACCAAATCTTGGGTACCAACTGGGTGTCAATCCAATTCTGACACTAACTAGAGAAAGCATCAGACCCCACAGGCTAAGAGCTCAGTCCTAGGAATGCAGGTCATGCCTCTTGTTGCCTTTGTCAACTGGCTTTATGTAAAAAGAAAGTGACTTTATGCCAGAACTTAGCTGAAGGGAACACACAGGCTCTTGCCTTAAGGAAACCACTTCCACTTTTGGGGCAGAAAGTGGGAGATTTAAAAAGGGGACTTCACAGAATGGCATGCAGGGGATGGGGTGAGGAGGTGCAGGGTCTATGGGACTTGCTCTGACGTTTTATCCATTAAGTGGTCTTGCTAACCCCACCATGGGCAGAGCTGGGTTGTAACTGACTGTTGTCTCTTAGCAATCTCCTGGTGGGGGTGAGTTTGGAGATGCCTAGTTTATTTCAAGGTTTGGTACCTGGAACTTCTAAGTAAACACACAGTAAGAAAAGTTTCCAGTGTAGGAAGTGTCTGGTAGAGAGACAGTAAAGCTTATAATTGCATTCCTAAAGAGCTAAGTAGGAAGTGCAGAAAAAGGAAAACAGTAAACATAATTCATTTTTTTTAAGAAAGTATGGGTACTTAATTATAAGACTGTAACTACTTAAGATGCCAATCACAAATAGTAGGTTCCCAGGTTACCTTCTGCCTGACTTGGCTACAGATTGGAGGCTCCCACTGTGATACTGTGCTGGCCTAAAGCCAGAACCTGAGCAACGCCATCTTTACAAAATGCAAAACTGTTTTTTAAATAAGTTGCAACAGCTGCCCCATTCTCCTCACAATAACTGCTGGCCCTTGGAATGTCCGGAGACCCTCACCCTCGTCTCCACCCAGGAAGTGACTTACAGAATCCCCTGGCCCTTGGAATGTCTGAAACCTTTTCATCCCCATCCCCGCTCCTCACCCCCACTCCCAAGGTGGTTTTTCGGGTGTAAAAAGTCTTGGCAGCCTCCTTTCGACGCCACAGGTTGGAGAGACGTGAGTCCTCTGTGGTCACCGGCATAATAAATGACCCTGCAATCTGGCATACTTTTGTCTTGGTGCTAACTTTCCACGCTCAGTCCAGTACAACATTTGGAGGTCCCATCGAGATATTCTCTTTTTGTTATCACCAGACAAAAGCCATCTCAGAGTCTCACCCAGGCAGCTGCTCCCACTTCGGGGGCCTCTGGGGAGGCGCCCCCTGTTCTTTACCAGGGCCCTGGAGTGCCACTGTGGAGGATAAGCGACCTCTAGGCCGACATTAACCTGAAATTCCTCAGGGTCCTAAAAACCTCCGGAGGTAAGTCTGGTCTGGGAACTAGTTCAAAGGAAAGGCCTGAGTCAGGGAACTGACAAGTCATTGCAACTCTGAACTGGCAAGCCTCACCGAGACGTCGCTTGAGGCTTCTGGTAGCTGGTGCAGTGGGTATCAGCGTTCGCCTTCTGGTGGCTGTCATAGTGGGTGGCAGCCCTCTGGTAACTGGTGCAGTGGGTACCAGCATTCGCCTTCTGGTAGCTGGCATAGTGGGTAGCAGCACTCGTTGTTTTCTATAACCTCTGTGTGAGTGAGAGAGTGAGTGTGTATATATGTAGTCCCACAGCTGAAAGGCTATGGGGCTTGTGTGGGCCTTTACCCGCGGTTCCACTGGGGCTCTGTAAGGCATAACGGTGATTCACCTCAGAGCTGTCCTACTTGGACTTCCATCCTGAGGTGACCAGGCCTGGGGATTATACAGGTACACCTTAGCCAAGACACCCCTGAAAATTCCTCTGGGAAAGTGGCCGGACAGGCATCTGACTGGTCTCCCATCTGGGGGGCACCCACCCTTTGTCTGTCACTCTTGTATGTGGTCCTGTCTCGTCTGTAAATTTGTCAGTTTTATTAGACTCCTGCTAGCAGACATACACTGGCTCAGGCCATCTTACCTTGAGGTAGGAGATATCTTACAGTGGTTAACGAACCACTGGATGCAGGGAACTTTTATTGATTACACCCCTGCAGAAATTACTCTTTTCTCTTTCTTCCTCATCTTCTTCTTCTATCACTGAGGCCTCACTCTTTCTCCCTTTGCCATGTGGCAGATAGTCTTAACTCTAGTTGTCTTTATTATTTTCCTTGTTATGGTCATTGTGGCCTGTAAATTCTCCCAGCCACCTCCACTGGGAAAAGAGTACTTTTGCCCATGCTGGGTCTGATTCCATATCGGGGAGGCAGTTGTGCCCCCAACACCTCGGAAGTAGTTTCTTTGGAGCTTGTGTGGAACAAAACCCTAGATCAGAGTTTACGGGTGCTCTTTCTCAGGCTGGGATGGAAAATAGGTAACTGCCTATTCTGTCAGGAACGTGTCCAATGTTATGGGCAGTGTCCAACGATGCATCACAGAAAGGCATATTGGCACTATCCTGGATGTTGGGAGGTAGGATGTCACCGCCCCAGTAAAAACGGACTGGCAGCACTTCTGCACACTCTACCGGGTGTGGTGGGTCCAAAACACACATCCAGTAGACCTCTTAGTCCACCTGTTCTGTCACTTCCCAACCTTTCCGAAGCAACCGGCCATTAAAAATTTATAAGGGGGAGGATCATGCCTGGGCAGCGCTAAACTTCCATAGTGCTTATTCTCGCCAGTTGTGGTTTGCGGGGGGAAAAGACCGCCGCCTTACCTTGGCCCCTACCCCCTGTTCCTCTGACTAGGACTAGGGATAAATCCTAAAATCTAGTTGTCTGGTCCTTGCAGGACCTGGCTGCAGAGGCCCTGCTTTAAAGAGGGCCAAATTTAAATTTGAGGCTTTCCAAAATTGGCTTTACCAGAGAACTGAGAGAAAGAGAAAAAGTGGACAGAAGAGAGGAGAGAGGACAAGAAAGTAAAAGAGGAAAAGAAAACAGAGGAGACAGAGAAAAGAGAGGAGAGAGAAAGTAGACAGAGGAAAGAGAGAGGAGAGAAAGTAGACAGAGGAAAGAGAGAGGAGAGAAAGGAGACAGAGGAGAGAGAGAGAAGGGGACAAGGAGCCGCAGGGGCACCCAGTGGCTGCAAGCTCAGTTTTAAACTGACAGTAAGAGCATTTTTTTTCCCTTTCTCTGCCAGCCCCGCCCAGTTTTCAGGCAGGCTACACCACTCCAGGGGACAATATTTGCATCCAAAATACTGCTTAAGAAAGCTTTCTGCCTTCCCCTATAGCAAGTGGCCTGTTAGCATGGTAGTTAAGGTGTAAGGCTTGTAGCTGCAAGGTTGTTGGTTCAAATCCTCAGTGAAGCTAGTTTGTGAAATCAGTTTCTCTTGGAAGAAATTTGGCATTTAAAAAAAAATGGGGTGGTCTAGCTCCCGGCCTTGTACCCCCCTCCAATGAATGACAGCCAACCCTAAGGTTGGGTTCTCAGGCCAATATGGGGTGAAATTAACCCCTGGAAAACTCTGCTCTTTGCGTGAGCTTAAATGGTCGTCTTTTGGAATTGGGTGGCCAGATACTGGGACCTATGACCCCAAAATTACCCAGGCTATATAGAAAATGGTTGCAGAAACTACTGGATACCCTGACCAGTTTCCATACATCGACCAATTGTTGGGTTTAGTCCAACGGCCTCCCCTATGGCTAAAGCGCTGCATAAAACAAGCTAGACTTCAGGTCACGTTAGCCGGCCCAAAAGAAAGTCTCTTCTGGGCCAGCCATTCTCCCGACCTCAGTGGAGGATCAGGAATTACTTCCACCCTACTCAAGGCCCTCTAAACCAGTGCCTTAGCACCCCCCTCGACAGTACTATTAACCAAACCTTGTCCCCCCCTGCACACCCATAGCAGGGCCCCCGCACCCACCAGCAGTCCTCCCCTTTCCAAGAGGCACCCCCATCAGAAGACTATCGGGGTTGCCCATTCTTTGTTCACATCCCCTTCTTGTCAAGTAACTTATATAACTGGAAGGTGATAGAGATCAAAGAGAGGGCCAAAACACCAACTGCTGCCATGAGTTTTATTAAGGGCAAGGGAAAGCTGCCCGGCTGAAACCAAAATTGGCGTGCAGCACCCGTGGCAGGGCCAAAGGGATTTTTATGGCCTGCAAGCCAGCAGATGTCCCCAGTGTGAGGGGCTGTGCAGGAGGGAAGTGCTGGGGAACTGCTAAGAGTTCCTGGGAGGGGGTCGTGCTGGAGAACTGCTAAGATGGCGAGAGGGGGAGGGTTAGGTACCTGCTGAGATGGAAAGCTCCCTGGGAGGGGGTTGTGCTGGGAGGCTGGGGAATTTAAGGCGGTCGGTGCAGAGGTTTTACAATGAAACTCAACATCCCCCATTCTCTGAGAAGCCCCAGGCTTTGAAAGGGCTCTGAAAATCTGCACTCCAGACTCATCATCCCACTTGGGATGACTGCAAACAATTATTACTGATTCTGTTCACCACAGAGGAAAAAAAAAAAAAGGCAAAATTAAACAGAAAGCCCTAAAAGCCATGATAGGTCCAGGGCGAGAGAAAAAAGTTTTTTCCCTCTACCCGACCCCAATGAGACCCCAACACCTTGGGGGTCACCAGGCTCTGAACACTTTTCACCGGTATCTTCTAGAAGGGGTTAGGGAAGTAGCCCACAAACCCACTAACCTCTCTGAGGTAGGGACTGTAACTCAGGGTTCACAGGAGATGCTAGCTGCTTTCCTTGAGCGCTTACTGGATGCCTATTACCCTGAGGCCCCGGAGAATCAGCGGGCCATCAATCTGGCTTTTGTTTCCCAGTCTGCCCCCGATATCAAAAGAAAATTGCAAAAATTAGAGGGGTTCCAGAAAATGAATTTAACTCAGTTGTTAGAAATTGCCCAAAAAGTCTTTAACAATAGAGATGCCTTAGAGGCCAAGCAAGATAAGAGAGTTACTAAGGCAGTGATAGCAGCACTCCAGGAAAAACCACAACTAGCCCCTGGACCACAAATCGATCAAATCGATTCGTTGATCTGGGAAACGGCACTGTCACCCATTCATTCTTGGTCATCCCTGAGTGTCCATATCCACTCCTGGAATGGGACTTGCTCCACAAACTGCAAGCAAATATTTCTTTCAGTGATGGTCAAGTGTGCCTCTCAATTCCTCCTCCCTTAACTGCAGGCCCACCTCAGCAGATCCTTATCACCTGTGCTCTGTCAGATGAGTATCTCTTGCAGAAAGCTTTATCCAGAGGTGAATCAAACACCAGCACCAGACTTCCTCCGCAAATTTCAAGAGAGTATACCGGGAGTATGGGCTGAAACAAGTCCCCCAGGGTTGGCAAGTCACTGCACCCCAGTCGTGGTCCAGCTATTAGCAATGGCAATCCTTCAGTCCAGGTGAAGCAATACCCTATGAGCTGGGAAGCCAGGCGAGGAATTGCTCTGCACATTACCAGACTCTTGAAGGGAGGGATCCTCACTACCTGTAAGTCTCCCTGGAATATCCCCTTGCTCCCCGTGCTAAAACCAGGCACACAGAACTATCGGCCTCTGCAGGACTTGAGGGAGGTGAATAAATGGGTAGAAACTATTCATCCTACAGTTCCAAATCCGTACACCCTCCTAAGTCTCTTGGACTCAGAACACCACCATTACACTGTCTTGGATGTTAAGGATGTATTCTTTTGCATCCCACTAGCCCCTGTTAGCCAGCCTATATTTGCCTTTGAATGGACCGACCCTGATACTGGAGTCTCAGGGCAACTCACTTGGACAAAACTGCCTCAGGGGTTCAAAAACTCCCGCACTCTGTTTGATGAGGCACTTAGCCAAGACCTTGCTGCCTTCTGAGCTGAGTTCCCAGAGTGTACCCTACTGCAATACGTAGATGACTTACTCTTGGCTACAAAAACCCAGGAGGCCTGTAAAGAGACCACCCAGTCATTATTGAAAAAACCCTGCAGACTTTGGGGTACCGGGTCTCAGCTAAAAAGGCCCAACTCTGCCAGCCAAAAGTGACTTACCTAGGCTATGTTTTAGAGAAGGGCAACCAGGCACTGGCACCCAGCTGAGTCCAAGCAGTGCTGCAAATACCCAACACCACCACAAAATGCCAAGTTCGAGAATTCCTTGGGGCAGTAGGGTACCGCAGGCTATGGATTGTGGGATTTGCTGAGATAGCCAAGCTCCTGTATGCCTGCACTGGAGGAAATCAGCCCTTGACATGGACAGAGGTGGAGCAACAGGCTTTTGACAAGCTCAAGACTGCCCTGACTGCAGCCCCAGCCTTGGCCTTGCCAGACATCTCTAAACCTTTCCAGTTGTTTGTGCACAAGAAACAGGGAGTCGCTAATGGGGTGCTCACCCAGACATTGGAACCCTGGTCCCAGCCAGTTGCCTACCTTTCAAAAAGACTTGATCCCGTAGCCTCTGGGTGGCCAGCTTGTTTGAGATCAGTGGCAGCTACGGCCCTGTTAGTCAAGGAGGCTGACAAACTGACCTTGGGGCAGGAGTTGAACTTAGTGGCACCCCACGCGGTGGAGTTGCTACTCCGTGGAGCTCTGGGAAAGTGGATGTCTAATGCCCACATAGTCCAATACCAGGCCTTACTTTTGGACCAGCCCTGCATACAATTTTCAAAAACCACAGTTTTTTTTTTTTTTTTTTTTTTTTTTTTGAGACGGAGTTTCGCTCTCGTTACCCAGGCTGGAGTGCAATGGCGCGATCTCGGCTCACCGCAGCCTCCGCCTCCTGGGTTCAGGCAATTCTCCTGCCTCAGCCTCCTGAGCAGCTGGGATTACAGGCACGTGCCACCATGCCCAGCTGATTTTTTGTATTTTTAGTAGAGACGGGGTTTCACCGTGTTGACCAGGATGGTCTCGATCTCTTGACCTTGTGATCCACCTGCCTCGGCCTCCCAAAGTGCTGGGATTACAGGCGTGAGCTACCGCGCCCGGCCCCCAAAAAACCACAGTTTTAAACCCCGCCACACTGCTACCTGACAGCGAGCCAGAGAAGCCCATATATGACTGCCAACAGACAATAGATGTCCTCCACGCTGCGTGACCAAATCTCACCGACGTTCCCCTGTGGAACCCAGAGGAGGTACTGTACACAGATGGCAGCAGTTTCATGGTCGACAGAGTCAGGTACCGTGGGGCAGCTGTGGTCACTCTAGAGCGGGTTATCTGGGCCCAGGCTCTTCCACACGGAACCTCAGCCCAAAAGGCTGAACTTACAGCTTTAATAAAGGCCTTGGACTGGGCGGAGGAAAAAATTGTTAACATCTACACGGATAGCCGGTATGCCTTTGCTACAGCCCATGTGCATGGTGCCATTTATAAAGAAAGAGGGTTGCTTACCTCAGAGGGAAAAATCATCAAAAACAAAGAGGAAGTCCTAGCTCTACTAGAAGCTATATGGAAGCCTAAGGCAGTGGCATTGATGCACTGCAAAGGACACCAGAAGGGAGATTCACCAGAGGCAAGGGGAAATAGGGCAGCTGACCTACAGGCCAGACAGGCAGCCTTGGGGCCAGTAAAACCTCTGACTCTTCTTGTGACTCTGCCGGCCCCAACCCTGCCTCCTACCCCTATGTACTCACCTGAGGAAGAAAACTTTGCTAAAGACCAGGGGGGACGACAAAATTCCACAGGATGGTGGATTCTACCGGACATAAGGATTGTGCTCCCCGAGGCTCTAGGACGAGCTCTAGTTAAGGACACACACCAGGCCACTCACTTAGGGCAAACAAAATTAACTGAGCTGCTGAGGGTTAGATACTACATTCCACACTTATATAAGATTGTTAGAAAAACTACTTGTTGTAATGTATGTGCCAGGGTAAATCCAGGAGGCAGTAGGCCTAGTCAGGCAGGGATAAGACTTAAAGGTATTAGCCCAGGGGAACACTGCGGGTTAGATTTTACTGAAATAAACCCCCAGAGTGCGGCTATAAGTACGTCCTTGTGTTTGTAAACACTTTCTCTGGATGGGTCAAGGCTTTTCCTACTAGGTCAGAAACCGCACTGGTAGTAGTGAAAAAATTGTTACAGGACCTGGTTCCTCAGTTTGGCTTGCCCCTGACACTGGGATCAGATAATGGCCCTGCATTTACAGCACAGGTTTCCTGGAAACTACACTGTGCCTATCGCCCCCAGAGTTCAGGGCAGGTTGAAAGGATGAACCGGACCATAAAGAAAACTAACAAAATTCATTCTAGAGACCGGTGAAAACTGGGTCAGCCTGCTTCCTTTTGTTCTCCTCCATACCCGATGTACTCCCTATAAAAAAAGCTTTACTCCTTTTGAAATTATGTTTGGAAGGTCCCCTCCCTTACTCCCCAGACTTGCAGACACCATACATGCTGGAGTCCATAACCATACATTCCTTAAGTCCTTGCAGGCACTCCAGTCTGTTCAGTCCCAGGTGCACTCGCTCATCAGGGGAACTCGACCTTCCCCAGTGGATTTCACTGACCAGCCGGTACACCACTTCCAGCCAGAGGACAAGGTCGTGGTAAAGAGATTCACTGCCTCTGGCCTAACTCCTCGCCGGAAAGGACCCTACACCGTGATCCTGGTCACCCCATGGCAATCAAGGTGGACAGACTAACTGCCTGAATTCACCACTCACATGTCAAGACTGCCCCCAAGGACGCACAATGGAAAGTGGTCTCATCTTCAACAGACCCCCTAAAGCTAAGACTTTCGTGCTCTTCATGGTTATCATCCTTGTCCCCGATTCCTGTGGTAGCCCCTAAAAGAGGGCCCCCTTAACGCCCACCTACTACCGGTGGGTCCTTACGGAGGGCTCCACTAGGGAATATGTTAGTTCTGTAACTAGAAGGAAATCCACCCTTGTCAATTTAACCCTAGAGTACATTCCCAGAGAGCCCATAACCTTCTCTACACTCTCTTAAGCGAAAGCCTAGATGTAAATGCTATAGGACAAATAAAGACCAAAAGATGGGGGCGGGGAAATGCGGTAAAAGTGAAGGAGACGGGGTGTGGTAACGTAGAGGCCGAAAAACAGCTTCAGACTATATGACTATATCTATGCCCAGGGTCCACCCCACAAAATAGATAAAATTGTGGAAACTTAGAGGAGTTCTTCTGCCTCCATTGGGGCTGTAAGACTATCTCCACTATATCAGGATATACTGCAAACAGAGCTTCTTTCATTTCTTTCACCCGAGACCCTCCCCCAAAACCCTGGCTAACATTCCTGCTCACTGGATTAGCACGACCCTTGGTGCTAATGGTCCTAGGGTTAACATTTGGACCATGCCTTTTAAACATGCTCCTCAAATTTATCCAAGAAAGAAGAGACTCGGTCAAATTGATGGTTCTGAGATCCAAATATGGGCCCTTGTGTCAAAAAAAGAAAACCTATTAAAGATTTAATACATGTTAAAAGAACAGGGGGGAATGTGATATTGTGCTGGCCTAAAGCCAGAACCTGAGCAACGCCATCTTTACAAAATGCAAAACTGTTTTTTAAATAAGCTGCCCCATTCTCCTCACAATAACTGCTGGCCCTTGGAATGTCTGGAGACCCCCACCCTTGTCTCCACCCAGGAAGTGAATTACAGAATCCCCTGGCCCTTGGAATGTCTGAAACCTTTTCATCCCCATCCCCGCTCCTCACCCCCACTCCCAAGGTGGTTTTTCGGGTATAAAAAGTCTTGGCAGCCTCCTTTCCACGCCACAGGTTGGAGAGACATGAGTCCTCTGTGGTCACCGGCATAATAAATGACCCTGCAATCTTTTGTCTTGGTGCTAACTTTCTATGCTTAGTCCAGTACAACACCACAACACCCTTATTGGGTTCAGCAATTTACTACAGCACATTACAGAACCCATAAAAACAGTATACTTACCATTGCTGACTTATTACCAAGGATATTTTAAAGGCTACAAGTGAACAACCAGATGAAGAGATGCACAAGGTGAGGTATGTGGAAGAGGTGCAGGCCTCCCATGCCCTTTCCAGATATGATTCCCCCAGCATCTCCCCATATTCAGCAACACAGACGCTCTCCTAACCCTGTCCTTTGTTACACAGGCAGATTGGTTGCATCAGTGGCCATAGGTGACCAACTCAACCATCAGCACCTCTCTCCTTCACAGAGATGGGAGGGGAGATGAAATTTCAAATCCTCTAATAACAAGGTTGGTTCCTTTGGAAGCCAGCCCCACTGAGGGTGTCCAGGTGCCCCCAGCCATCAGTTATCTCATTAGCATACGAAAGACACATCATATGTTCCAAAGGCTTATTGCTCTGTCTCAGGACACCGCAGCAGAGACCACACATTAACTCTTATGATGTTCCAATAACCCACAAAATGGAAGAAAAAAATCTGCACATTAGATACTTCAAAAGTGTCTGTTATCCATAATGTATAAATAACTTTTACAACTCAATAACAAAGACAACCCAATCTAAAAAATGACAAAGGACCTTCATACACACTGCACCAACAAGCACCTGAAACAAGATGCTTAACATCATTAGTCATAATTAAAACCATAAAAAAAAACCCTTAAATCAAACTAGAATAGTTATGCTAAAAAAAAGTCTTAACAAAGATGTGCAGAAACTTGAACCCTTAAACACTGCTTGTGACAATATGAAATGGTGCAGTCTATATGTAAAATAATTTGGTGTTTCTTCAAACAGTTACCAATAGATTTACAGTATGACTCAATGATTCCATTCCTAGGCATATACCCCAAAGACTTGAATACAGGCATTCAAACAAAAACTTGTTTGCTCTTTAAATGTGTCAAGGTGACAAATATGCAGGAAAGTATGGGGAACAGTTCGAGGAAAAGAAAACTGGATCAGAATGAAAAAAAAAAAAAAAACACACATTATGCTCCTAGGTGGGGCAGGAGGTAAAAGTGAAATGCGTTTGTAGACTGAATTATCATATAGGAACCATGCTGATTTCCTGATCTAGGAGTTATGTGGTGGTTGCCTGGGAGAGTGTCTATACTTTGGGTAAAATATACTGAAGTATTTTGTGGGACACTGTAAATCTGGTACAGCAATAATTACTGCAGAAGCTAAGAGAAGAAACAAGTTATACTTTGTACTGCTACTGGAAGTTTCCTAGAAGTATGACATTATTGGAAAGTAAATTACTTTTTAAAACAACCATATCAATACCACGCCAGGAAAGCAGAGACCTCACCAAAATCCATTATAGAGGCTATGGTTCAGCCAAACCTGTGAAACCCTTATAAAAGTCTCAATGTCAACAGAGTCCACTTCGTAGATATTATTATATTTATTAGTATTAGAGGCTACTGTGTGGATATATTAGTGTTGTGGCATGGTGTGGATATTAGATTAGTGTTAGGGCAAGGTGTGGATATTATACTGGTATTAGGGCACGGTGTGATTACTATATTAGAGGCCACTGTGAGAATATGTATTAGCAGCCACTGTGTCTTGGACACAGACAATATCAGGGTTTAGTCAAAACAATGGGATTTAAGGGTTTCATTTTTCTAGATGGATTTCTTCCTCTGCTGAGTACTCTCTAGACTCTCCTCTACACTCATGGCGGCAGACAGGGAGCTTTTTACCCACCAGTAAACAACACCAAGTTGACACGACTCTCATGCTGCCCTGAGGAAGATAGAGCTCCTTGCTGCTTCTGGCACCTCAGAGGGAAGTTGGTCAGGAGTGGGTACATGCGCCCTCTGGTGGCACCAGGACTCAGCACAGATGCTGTTAGTCAGTTTCTCAGCGGATGTGTAAACCCCCCAGAAGTCCTGAAATATCTAGAAAATTCAATATTCAGTTTATTCAATGTCATAATTTTGGAAATTCAAACTAAAATGAAGCCCAACATAAGCATATCCTTCCAAAAAATGGTGATGGAAGAATTATTTGGAAGCCATATAGAATGAAATGAATGTACACACAAAACACAAAAACCTACTCAAAACAGTCCAGAGACTATAACTGAAAAGGCAAAACTATAAAAAATCAAGAAGAAAATCTATGTAACATTGGGTTTGGTGTTGAGTTTTAACACACAACATCAAACACCAATTCATGAAAATATTCATAACACAGACTTTATAAAACTCTATTTTCTACTGTGAAAAATCCTATTCAGAGAACAAAAAGCCAAGACAGACTGTGAGAAGATATTTACAAAATACATATGTGATTTGAAAAACTGTATTGAAAATACACAAATAACTCTTCAAAGGAACACTAAAAATTTTAAACTAGTTGGACACAGTGGCTCACACCTGTAGTCCCAGCACTTTAGGAAGCTTAGGCAGGCAGATCATGAGGTCAGGAGTTCAAAACCAGACTGGGCAGCATGGTGAACCCCTCCATCTCTACTAAAATACAAAAAATTAGCCAGGCGAGGTGGCACACAACTGTAATTCCAGCTACTTGGGAGGCTGAGGTGGGAGAATTGCTTGAACCAAGAGAGCAGAGATTGTAGTAAGCCAAAATTCTGCCACTGCACTCCAGCCTGCATGACAGAGTGAAACGTCATCTCCAAAAAAAATAAATAAATAAAATGAAAAACCCAATTAAAACTGGGTAAATATCTAGACAGATGCCCAGCCAAAGAAAATATAGAGAAAGATAGCATGCCGGGCATGGTAGTGCATGCCTGTAATCCCAGCACTTTGGGAGGCTGAGGCAGGTGGATCACCTAAGGTCAGGAGTTCGAGATCAGCCTGGCCAACATGGCGAAGCCCCCTCTCTACTGAAAATACAAAATATTAGCCAGGCATGGTGGTAGGCGCCTGTAATCCCAGCTACTTGGGAGGCTGAGGCAAAAGAACTGCTTCAACACAGAAGGCCGAGGTTGCAGTGAGCCAAGATCAAGCCATTGCACTCCAGACTGAATGACAGAGTGAGACGTTGTCTCAAATAAGACAAAAACAAACAAACAAACAAAACCCAAAAATATACAGATAGCAAATAATCACACAAAAGTATGCTCAACATCATGTCACATTAGGAGACCGAAAATTAAAATGACACTGAGATGGCCGGGTGAAGTGATTCATGCCTGTAATCCCAGCTCGCTGGGAGCCTGAGGTGGGTGGATCACGAGTTCAAGAGATCAAGACCATCCTGGGCAAGATGGTGAAACTCTGTCTACTAAAAATAAAAAAATTAGCTGGGCACGGTGACACATGCCTATAGTCCCAGCTACTCAGGAGGCTGAGGCAGAAGAGTCACTTGAACCCAGAAGGCAGAGGTTGGAGTGAGTGGAGATCATGCCACTGCACTCCAGCGTAGTAACAAAGTGAGACTCCATCTCAAAAAAAAGAAAAGAAAAAAAAAAACCATGCTAATATGTCACTGCACACCTAGTAGAACTGCAGAACTCTAAAAAAATTCAACAATAACAATTGGAGGTTGAAGAACAACAGGTACTGTCATTCACTGCTGGTAGAATGCAGCCGCTTTGGGAAATAGCTTGGCAGTTTTTCCCAAAGATAAACAAGTCTTACCTACAGTCCAACAAATGCACCCCTAAATTGTGTATGTTTAGAAAGCTGCTTTGAAAAATTATTTTCCAACAAAAACTAGCATAATCAACTTCAAGTACGACCACGCAATGGAACACCATTCAGCAAGAGAAAGGAATGACTTTTGACCCATGAAAATAAATGAATCTTGCATGTATGTTGCTAAGTGAAGGGTGGCAGTATGAACATGCTATACATTGTATGACTCAATTCATATGACATTCTGGAACAGGTACAACTACAGAGATGATAATCAGATGAGTTGTCTTGGGTGGGTATTTGAAGTATTCTATATGATACTTTAGTGGTGGATACCTGACACTATGCATTTGATAAACCCATAGAATTTTAAAGCACAAAGAACAAATAACCCTGATTTTCCTCTGTACTCTCAACACTTCACTTCTGACAGCAATTTCAAGTGGGGGGTGTTTCCCACAACAACCAATTTTCCAATGCTCTGGACAATAATTGGGTGTCCTATAATTTCATTATGACATTAATTAGCAGGAGTTCATACAGACCCTACAGGTTAAGGGCTTAAATATATCACACTCTCCCTGACCTCAGATGCCAATCAAAAGTAGTGAATCCCCAGTTTACTCAAACTTCTATATGACTTGGCTAGAAACGAGGAACTCCTATACCCTTCCCTCAGGTTTGATAATTTTTTATAATGGCCTATGGAAGTCAGGAAAACACTTACTTATGTTTACTAGTTACTATGGTGTCAATGTGTGTATACCCTCCAAATTCCTATGTTAAAATGTAATCCCCAAAGGGATGGTATTCAGAGGTAATTGAGAGGTGATTGGATCATGAGGGTGCTGCCCTCATCAATGAAACCAGCACCCTTATAAAAGAATCTAGGAGCCTTTTTTCCTATTCTGCCATGTCAGAACATGGCTAGAAGGCACTATCTATGAGAGATGAGCCATCACTAGAAATCAAATCTGTCAGACTTGATCTGGGACTTTTCAGATTCCATATTTTAGGAATGTTTATGGAAGCTTCATCATGTAGACATGATTGATTATTAACTCAATCTCCAGTCCCTTCAAACCCTCAAAGGATTGCATGTAAAGCTAAAAGTTACAAGCTTCTTATCATGGCTTGGTCTTTCTGGTGAACATTCCCCATCCTGAAACCATCCAGGAACCCACAGAGGGTCCTTACAGAAGACATTTCTATCACTCAGGAGATTCCAAGGGATTTAGGAACTCTGCTTCAGCAACCAGGGCCAAAGACCAAATATTAGAACACGAGATGTTTCTAGCACCCCTATTGTTCAGTAAATTATGAAAGTTTTAGGAGCTCTCTATCAGGAACTGCAGACAGAGACCAAACATATTTCTCATTAAATCGCAACCTGAAATATAGATTAAAAATGAATTCCTTGTTTCCAATGGACCAAGGCATGAAATAAATGGCAAACAGTGGGAGCCAGGTTCCTCACTGTTAGAGTGAGAAGTTACATATAAGAAATGGGGGAAGCCTAGAATGATATCTGTGCTAATGGATCTGAATATATATAAGTATAAACTCACATTTAGGATAATATATACACAGATGGTTCCACATAGAAAACTATAAAATTAAGTGGGTACATACAA